TCAGGGCAGCTGAGCCTGCAGGGAGAAATGATCCGTTTCCCATGGCAACTCAGCCCCAAAAAGTGAATGAACAGGAAATATTTTACTTTGGGTGAAAATTTTTCAGGGAGTGAAAAGAGAAGCCCTGTGCTTCCCTGTCCAGCTCCAGCTCCACCCATGTGCCTCTGTCCTCCGTGCTACAGGACGCAGTGTCCCTCCCCCACAGCCCTCATAGCCACACGGTGTGTGCAGGGCAGCACTCCAGCGGCGATTTAAAGGGCCGGGGGCTCTGGGGGCTGCTCTACCACAGTAGCAGCAACCGTGGTTGTGAGCCCTGGGCCCCTTTGAATTGCCAGGCCCTGGGGCAACCTCCCCGGTCCGTGGACCTGGTGCTGTTGGCAGCACTCAAGTGCAGCACCCACAAACCAAGGTGCTCAGTGTTGGTTAGAAAACATTTCTGGTCACACAGTCCACCAGCGGCAGAGATGTTGCATCCCCCTGCACTGGGCAACAAAGCCTCCTTCTTTAAGGAGCAGGGGGTACGACTACAGAGCAGCGTTATTTAGCAATAACCGAGGGTACACGTAAATAACACAGCGCGCATCTGCACTACAAGCCTTTATTTCCAAGTGATGTCCAGCTGGAGGACTTCTTACTCTGACCCCTGTAAGCCTCATTTCACAAGGAGTAAGGGAAGGCGAAGGAAGACGGCTCTTCCTTCGACTTCCTGCTGTCTAGACAACACCAAAAGCTGAATTAGGCTATTTCCACTTAAGCTATGCAATTGACACAGCTGAAGTTGTGTAGCTTAATTCGACTTTTGTAGACATGCCAGGGTTAGCCTACAGCCAGATGGACATAAAAGTGATGGGCTCACAGAGCCACTAGGAACCGGAGGCCTTACACTTGACTAATTAATGAATGTGGCCTGGGGAGCACCCTCTGGGGAGTTTCTGCCCAGCCAGCTTGGTCCCCAGACTCAGCTGCATTTGGTGGGGTGATCCAGGGAAAACCGCTCAAACATCCACAGAAACTGGCCAGGGTCAGGACACCAGCCTGGCTGGGTAAGGTGGAGGTGGCAGTGACATCACAATGGCCCATTGCAGGAATTCAGCTTATTGGGGGAAAGTGATGACCTCACAGAGGAACCCTGACAATAGCCAATCAGGATAAAGGCACAAGGCAGGGGGCAACTTCAGAGATTCCTGCGTCTCTGCATCAGTGAGGCTCCTTCTCAGTGTCTCTCCCAGGGGACTGGGGGAGAATTAGGATCAATGGACGTGGGCAGGGGGAGGAACCTCGTCGGCTTTTTCTCCTTCCCTGCTGCTGATTGTCGTGCTTGGTGAGAAGGTGAGAGCCTCAGAGCGATTTGGTGCCTGCTCAGTCCCTTCTCCTTCTCATCTTCTCCTGTGTCTTATCCCCCTTTTCTATTCCCCCCACCCCACCAAGCAGGGGTGTGTGTTTATTCCGGGGTGGGGTGGGGGGTTGCTGTTGCTGGAGGAGGCCCTCATGCAGAGGTGGAGTTGGAAGAGCGCTCAGAGCCGGAGGGGACCTGGGCCATCCTTTTGGACTTCTGCTGAGACCCCTCTGCCTCCCTGCTCCCAGAATCCTGATGCTGATTGGCTGAATGGCTGGTTATTGATGGGGAGACTCGGTTCCTTTTGTTCTCTGTGGGTACATCTAAACTACATGGCTCCGTCGACGGAGCCATGTAGATTTGTTGTTTTGGCAAAGGGAAATGAAGCCGCGATCATTTAAATCGCGGCTTCATTTACATTTACATGGCTGCCGCGCTGAGCCGACAAACAGCTGATCAGCTGTTTGTCGGCTCAGCGCGGCAGCCATGTAAATGTAAATGAAGCTGCGATCCTTTAAATCGCAGCTTCATTTACATTTACATGGCTGCCGCGCTGAGCCGACAAACAGCTGATCAGCTGTTTGTCGGCTCAGCGCGGCAGCCATGTAAATGTAAATGAAGCTGCGATCCTTTAAATCGCAGCTTCATTTACCTTTGCCTATCTGTCTAATCTACATGCCTCTGACGACAGAGGCATGTAGTCTAGACCCAGCCTGAAAGAACAGACCAATACGTCTCCAGCCAGAATGGATTGCGCTGCTTCTCTGCAATTTTTGTCTCTGGGCAGTTCCTGAGTCTCTCTAACATGCCAGGGCTTCTCAGATATTTACTGGATGGTGGCTAGCAGCAGTGGTGGGTCTGTAGCCCATTGGAGAGCGCTGGGTGCTGATTGTCTATGTGCCCCAAAGGGGCGGGCTGGGGGCAGGATACAGCCTTGCATGGGGGGGGGCAACATGACAAAGGGCTGGTGGGGAAGGTGCTGGGGAGGGGCTGAGCTCGCGGAGATCCCCTGACATCCGTTGCAAGGCAAGGGCAGCCTCACAGACAGCCCCCCCCCATCCCTTTCTGGCTGCGTGGGAGGTTCCTAAAGAGGTGAGGCTGGAATTGCTCTGAGACTGACCCCTCCTGACCTGGGCCAGCCTTTGGGACGTCTCATAAGACCTCTCAGCCTCCCGCCTCGCCGAATCTCGATGCTGATTGGCCGAGCAGAGGGCTGTTGGCAGGGAGGAGTCTTCCCACTTTTCCAGCTGTCCTGCCTTCTGTGCCCCTGCTGGTGGCAGCTTGGTCTGCCATTGTGGGCAGCTGGAAAGGCAGCACCACCCCCAGCAGCAGTGCAGAAGGCAGGATGGCACATGGTGTGATGTTGCCTCCCTTCCTTCTGCTCCACTGCTTGTGGGGGCATGGCCTTTTAAGGGGGGTGGAGGGTGGCTGGGAATCAGTGCAATTGGTCAGACACCTGGCTTGGGTGACAACTCTGGCTCCAGCAGCAGCACAGAAGGAAAGTGGCACGGTCTGCTCCTTTTTCTGTGCCTCTTGCTGGGGGCAGACCTGCTTTCTACACTGGGGGATCGAGAGAGGCAGCTGCTGGCAGGACACCCAGCTCGGATGGCAATACCGCCGCCAGCAGCAGCGCAGAAGGAAGAGTGGTGTGATATGTCATTGCCACCTTTCCTTCTGCACTGCCACTGGAGGTGGCTGGCCAGAGAGTAGCCCACCTGAGAAGTCAGTGCCACTGCCAGCAACAGCACAGAAGGGAAGGTGGCACGGCATGGTGTTGTCACTCTGCTTTCTGCATCATTGCTGGCCGTGACTCTACCTTTCAAGCAAGGCAGCTGGAAAGGCAACACCATCAACCAGTAGCAGTGGAGAGGGAAGGGTGACCTGCCGCGGTATTGCTTCCCTTCCATCTGTGCCACTGCTTGGTGGCAGTGCTGAATTCCATGCTGGGAGGCTGCAGAGGGGCAGACACTGGCCAGACACCTTGTTTGGAAGGGAGCACGGCCACCAGCAGCAGTGCAGAACACAGGGTGGCATTTGATGGCTTTGCTGTCCTGCCTCCTGTGCCCCTGCTCGTGGCAGCTCGGTCTGCCAATGTGGGCAGCTGGGAAGGCAGGGCCACCCCCAGCAGCAGTGCAAAAGGCAAGGTTGCATGACATGGTGTGTCCACCCTTCCTTCTGTGCCACTGCAGCTGGTGGCACTGCCCGTGGATCTGGGTGGCAGCAGAGTAGTGGCCTCTGGTGAGATGCCCAGCTCGGATGGCAGCTCTACTGCCAGCAGCAGCCCAGAAGGATGGTGGTATGGCATGGCATTGCTGCTCTTCCCTCTGCCCCGCTGCTGGTGGCATCTCTACTTTCCAAGCTGGGTCGCCTGAGAGAACGGGAGCCCAGCTGTGAAGTCAATGCCACCAGCAGCAGCAGCACAGAAGGAAGTGTAACAAGCTGTGGTATTGCCACCCTTCCTTCTGAGCTGCTGCTGGCCAGGTTGGGGAGCAGAGAGCAGCTGCCACTCTGCCCCCCAGCTCTGAAGGCAAGAAGAAATCATGGACATTTTCCTATCTCCCAGGTTCAGAGACCTGAAGGCTGAAGAAGAGGCCATGGCCAGGAAAGCCCAAACATATGGTGACTCTACGACCCTTCTGCACTTACCTTACCACCCCCTGTCAGGTTGGGACCCCCCCAGTGTGAGAAACCCTGCACTAAGGGGTTTCTCTACAACCCCGAGGTCACTCTTGGCAGACCCTTTCCCACCACTTCCATGGAAAGGGATGTAGATTCTCAAGGACGTTTCCCCTATTTCAAAGATCTGCCTGGATGGAGATTGGAGGACCAAAGGGAAGTCCTGGCCAGGAAAACCCATGTGCACGGCATGTCTCTCAAACATCAGCATCCCTGGCATTCAGTGGCCAGATACTTGTTTGTACAGACTTGTGTATAAAGAACCCGGTTACAATGTTTTGTTCCTGGGTAAGTGTCTACTTGCCACTGGTATCAGCCAGTAGTTACCCAGCCTTCTATGAAGTCTATAATCTCCTGCTGCCTCCTCCTTCATTTCCTGAATGGCTTGTCCGGGGGCTCCTGCATTAATCATGTCTTTGAAACAACTCAGTCACAAGCACCTGGCTGAGGATGTACGGGAAAGGGGTGTGTGCGTGCCCCTTGAATATCCTCTGTCCACTGCATGTGCAGCCACGATGTGTCACATAGCACAAAGAGTGCTCAGAAAGTGTGACAGCAGAACCACTCCGCAGCTTTTTTATACTCTGTGGACAGGATCCAGAGATTGGAGACTGACAGGCCAGGTGTCATGGGAAACAACATACCAATCCCTTTTCTCTAGTGCTGTATTGAGAGGAATACTGAGGTCAGGGAAGCCACCAAGATGGCTTTCTATAGGCCATCATCCCACCCATCCCAGAGCTCTCTGTGAACACAGTCACTTTGTAAAGACTGCTGCCTGCCTTGATCAAATTCCCCTGGTCCAGTTTTCATCCTCGGAACCACCCCTCCCATGGGTCCAGGCCTTAGAGCCCATCTCAACCTCTCTCTACAGAGAGGAGATCGGTAGCTCATGTCATCTCGGATACAGGAGCCAAAGAGGGAAGAGGGGCTTATATTTTTAATCTCCCTCTTCACCAACGCTGGATCCCTATGTTCAAATGACCCTTCACTTGACGAACACCCTGATGATCCTCACACGCAGCTGTTTGCTTTTCACGCTGTACACGATTGGGTTCATCAGGGGTGGCACCAGAAGGTAGACATAGCCTAGGTAAATCTGAAGCAAGAAAGTGTGCTTCCCGAATCTGTGTATCACAGTCAGGCCGATCATTGGTATGTAGAAGAGCAGGACAGCGCAGAGGTGGGAGACGCAGGTGTTCAGGGCCCTGAGGCTCTCTCTTCGGGACGCGATGCTCAGCACCGTTTTGAAGATCATCACATAAGAGAGGAGGATGAGCAAAGAGTCCAACCCCACCGTGGAGAGTATCACGAAGAAGCCATAAATGCTGTTGACGGAGATGTCCGCACAAGCCAGCTTCATGACATCCTGGTGCACGCAGTAGGAATGGGAGAGGACATTGACTCCACAGTATGGGAACCGTTTGAGGAGAAAGGGCACTGGAAATGCCACAAACAGACCTCTTAGCACAAACACCAGCCCCATCTTGGCTATTCGCGGCAGGGTTAGGATGGAAGCGTATCTCAGTGGGTCACGGATTGCAATGAAGCGGTCAAAGGCCATTAACAGGAGCACAGAAGACTCAATGATTGAAAGTGAATGGATGAAGAACAATTGGGCAAAACAAGCTTCAAGGCTGATCTCCCTAGAGTTAACCAAGAATATACCCAGTATTGTCGGTGCGGTGACTATTGATAGACCAAGGTCTGTGATGGCCAACATGGAAAGGAAAATGTACATGGGCTCATGGAGACTCAGGTCTGTTTTAATAATGTACAGAATAACTGCATTTCCCATCATTGAAACAGCATAAATAAGGCAGAAGGGGATGGAGATCCAGAGATGGATGTCTTCATGTCCAGATATCCCAGTGAGAAGGAACACAGCAGGTTTGAACTTGGTGTCATTGGAAGCTGCCATTAGGTACTGGGCAGGTCTGGGGAGTTTTGAATTTTCCTTCCTAAGAGGAAAAAGAATAGAAGACTAAGCAATATTTTACTAGGCATCATTTTTCTCTCAGAAAGTAGAGGGTAGTTATGACACGAGAACCCCAGTAGCACAAGGAAGATGAATATAAACCTCGTGGATTGACACATATGATAGGAAGTTAGGGACCATCAGACTGAGTGAGACCTGTAGTCCATGTAGCCCAATATCTAGTGGCTAGTACCTGGCCCTGTAGATGAAAAGAAAGAAGCCCTGCAACAGCCAATTTATGACTTGCTTCCAGGGAAAACTCCCCGTTTCCCGAGACCCACAAGTTAGACCTGTTTTGTAGTGTAAATTGGGACCATTTATAGACCTTCCAAGTGTTCTGAAGATATTCACTCCTGAAATTAGATTTTTTGGTTACTCATATAAACTTCCAGGACTCTTCTTGAGTCCCTGTAAGCTCTTGGCTGTATTGATATACTATGGCAGGGAGTTCCACAGCCTACTTGCCACTGTGTGATTTGACAAGTTTGAAATTCCAAATTCACATTTATAATGATGTTTGTTACATTATGTATTTATGTTTTATACGTTCACCACTCCTGTGAGTACAAAGTATGCCCCAGCCTCTCGGCAGTACATGCAAATTGTTAGGTTCAGGTTGTGCATTCAACAAAATTGTGCTCAAGAGGCATCAATTAAGATTTGCATATGTACATTCTATGAGAACAGGGCTCTATTAACTTTCCCTTGCTGAATGCTCCGACTAATACACTCTGCCCTCCCTCCCACGCGACTCCCCCCAAAAATCCCTAAAAGAGAAATTGAAGTGCTTTTCTGGTCAGTATTCACTAAATCTGGAGCTGCTACTCTTCACCCTCACAGGACCTGCATTCTCTGCCCATGCAAGGAGCTGCAGAATTCTGTCATGTTAACTAGCTAATACAGGCAGTTACCTCAGTTGGGCAGAAAATGGGATGGCATCAAGAACGGGTGAATAGTGCAAACACTAAAATTGCACGAGGATCCAGTTGAGTATGGAAATTTTACCCATGCATATACAATAGGCGATGGATGTAAATTGCATACAACCACTTTAATATTCCAGATCTCAACTTTTAGTCTTGGGGCGATTCTTAACTATTACTAAGGCTCCAAGAACAAGTGCAGAATTGCCCCAGGACTAAGCTCTACTCTTTTCTGAAACACAGATCAGAGAATCTGCACCCTCAAGATTTGGGGGGAATTTTATCGGAATTCCTGAATGCATGACCCCATAGCGATGGCTTCAGCTCAGTTATTAAAAAGGACACTATCACTCAACTAATATGAACAGAGATTTCATAGCACAGAATCATTGGAAGCAGTATTTGGAGCACATCTGAAGAACTTTCTGAACTGAAATCCTTTAAGCAGTAATATTACCTTGGCTCCATTATTTGGAGAGTCCAACAATTCTGCTTCTGGCTGCTGATATGCATGAGTATATCCAATAGGCAGAACCAAATCTGGGATCTCTGGAGCTTAGTACATGAGTCTCTGCAACTTGAGCTATAAAGCTAGTTGGCTCTTAGCTAAGTACGTAGAACACACTCATTCTTTCCCTCTAAAAGGGTGCATCTATACTGAACCTGGAGCTCAAAACGAGCAATGCAATTTGAGTTACACAAGTTGTTTAGCGTATTTCGAGTTAATTTCGAAATAGCTTATTTTGAAGTTTGAGATTGTCAATGCAACACTGTTTTCGAAATAAATCCCTATTCCGAAACATCCCTTACTCCTCATGGAGACTGTTATATTTCGAAATAATGAGCACACACAAAAGATGCAGAATAGCTATTTCAGAATACCTCTGATAACCCAAAATAGTGCTGCAGTGTAGACATAGTCCTAAGCTATGTCTAGACTGTATTCTAAAACTAAAAAAAGATATGCAATTTGTGCTTCGCAAATTGCATACCTTTTTTTGATTTAATTTCGAAAGAGGCTATTTCAAAATTTGGCATGTTTACATGGCACCAAATTTCAAAAGAAAGTGCTCTTTCGAGCCATCCCTTATTTCTCGTAGAATGGAGTTCACAGAGATGGCGAAAGAGCACGTCCGTTTTTTCAAAAAACTGTTTGAAATAGCAGACATGTTCCATGGACGTGGTGTTGCTATTTTAGGATACTTCTGGTATCCCAAATTAGCAATGCAGTCTAGACATACTGCTAATAGCCTAAGTGCCACTAAACAGCACAGCATATCACACAGAGAAGTTGTGTGGTTTACACATGCATGACATCAAAGTTTGGCTTGTAATATTTCTGTCAGGATGAAAAGTTTTGGCATAAGATTTCACATCTCTACATGAGTACACACGTCAAGCCAGTTTTTCCCTCTCTCGTCTACTTTCAGAGCTGATTTCCCAGATCAGAGTGAGATCTTGGCCTGAGACAGAATTTTGATTATGACTAATATGTATGAAGAACAAAAGGCAAAGAAGCCTTGTGCATTTCTCCCAACCAGAAGGGACTTTTAGTACAGTGAGGGTATGTCTACACTAGCTCGTTAATTCGAGCTAGGTAGGCAAATCAGGCAACCAGAGTTGCAAATGAAGCCTGGGATTTAAATATCCCGGGCTTTATTTGCATGTTCCCATCCGGCCGCCATTTTAAAATCCCCCTTAGTTCAAACGAACTGCCCACGGCTACACAAGGCAGTTTAAAGTTAATCCGAACTAAGTCCTTAGTTAGGATTAACTGTTACTCCTCGTGGAATGAGGTGTAACAGTTAATCTGAACTAAGGATTTAGTTTGGATTAACTTTAAACTGCCGCATGTAGCTGTGGGCAGTTTTTCAAACTAAGGGGATTTAAAAATGGAGGCTGGACGGGAACATGCAAATAAAGCCCGGGATATTTAAATCCTGGGCTTCATTTGCAACTCCGGTTGCTTGATTTGCTTACCTAGCTCAAATTAATAAGCTAGTGTAGACATGCCCTCAGACAAATAAGGGATGAAGCTAAAAGTATTATAGGGCAGAGGCATACTGTATTATGTGAGCACACATTTCTTGACTGCTTCCGCTTGTTATTTCAGAGCAAAGTCCAGCAAAGAGCTGGGGAGTGGCAAAGATGGATTGATAGGTTTCTGTAGATCTTGAGTAACCCACTGTAAAACAAAGGCAATGACCCCGACAGCCCAGCTGAGTCCTCTACCGCTGCACAGAACAGCTGCCAATGCAAACAGCCTGAAGCCTTCGCCCTGCACTTGGCATGTTACAGACAGTGAAACCTGCCAACGTACCCAGTTCCTGCTAGAAGGGAGCCGTAGCACCAGAGGTCTTCACCCTGAAGCACAAGGAGTCACCGGAGAGGTTGCACGGGCAGCAGGCAGTGTGTGTTCAGATAGGGAGGCAGCTGCCTTATGCAGCATGTTTGTACCTTCCCTTGGGGCCACTTGGCCATCAGGGATCCTCAGCTGCTTGGCTTCGTGTGCACCAGCTTTAACCCCATCACAGCCAATGGCAAACAGCATTGACAAATCACAAGGGATGTGCAGTGTTGCTATAGAATTAGCCTGCAGAACCGGCCCTGCAGAAGTCTCTACTCCTGGTACCAGGGGATGTGATCTATGGTTCCACTGTTTCTATGGTTCCATTTTGTGGTGCTTTTTTGTGGTGGTATGGCCTGGTACTCAGTACCGGCACCTCCAGATGCAGTACCAGAACCTCCAGCCAGAGCTCAACAACTTTTCCCCTGGAGTGCCAGCACTTTTTTTTTAAACAGAAAAAGCACCTGCTTAGGAGTGATGAAGGGTTAACACTGATTCTCTCTGAGTTGTGACCCTGCCAAATATATTTATTGTTATTTTTATTGTTGTTATTATTGTTGTTATGTCAGCCATTATAATATATATTAACGAGCCAATAGACCATCATAAGATGGAATTTTCGGGTCTCTCCTCCACGTCCGTCTCTCTCGCTCTCTCCTCCTCCTCCTACTGCCTCCCCCTCTCGCTCCCTCAGCTCTCCTCTGCCTCCTGCCTCTCTCTCTCTGTCTCTCTCTTTCTCTTCTCCTCCCCCTCCTGCCTCTCACTTGGGGGACCGTGGAGCCCAAAAAGGAGCAAGCATCGCAAGCGGCTGTTCGGGCTCCACGCTCCCTGTGCTGCATGGGGAGTGTGGAGCCCAAACAGCCACTTGCTTCTCCGTGCAGAAGTCAGCTGAGCGCCACAACGGGAGGCGAAGGGGGGCAGGGCGGTGACATTTATAGCCGGGGGGGGGGCTGGAGTCACAGTCACGCCACACCTCACCGCCCCACCCCCTTTTGCCTCCCACCATGGCACTCGGCTGACTTCTGCGCCGCTCAGCTGGGCTGCCGTGGGGGAGCAAGCGGAGCAAGAGGCCATTTGGGGTCCCCCATGGCGGCCCGGCTGAGCGGCGCAAAAGTCAGCCAAGTGCCATGGTGGGAGGTGAAGGGGGGCGGGGCAGTGACATACATGTAATTCTGCATTCAGATCTTGTGTTCAAATGAAAGAAAAATGAAAGGAATGCAATGAAGAGCCACCAAAATAACTGAAGGGCTGGAGAAAATGCCAGAGAGTAAGGAACTCGAATTGCTAAATCAGTGTAACTGAAGAGAAGGAAAACAAAGAGCTGACTTGATGGTCATGCAAAAGCTCCTTCAGAGGCACAAAATACTGGGTACAAATGGTCTCTTTAATCTATCTGGGAAATGAACAACAAAAAGCAACAGCCAGAAACTGAACCCAGACACATTGGCTACGTCTAGACTGGCATGATTTCCTGCAAATGCTTTTAATGGAAAAGTTTTTCTGTTAGAAGCATTTGCGGAAAAGAGCGTCTAGATTGGCACAGAGGCTTTTGCGCAAAAGCACTTTTTGCGGAAAAGCATCTGGGCCAATCTAGACGTGGTTTTGTGCAAGAAAGCCCCAATCACTATTTTTGCCATCGGGGCTTTTTTGCGCAAAACACTTTTTAGCTGTCTACACTAGCCCTCTTGTGCAAATACATTTGCGCAAGAGGGC